TCCCTCAGCTCTTCAGCTCAAGGCTAGCACTCTACCACTTGAGCCACAGCGCCACTTCCGGCTTTTTTCTTTTTGCTATGTGGTGCTGAGGAATTGAACCCAGGGCCTCATGCATGCACGAGCGAGCTCGGGCCGCCTCCCTCCTCCGCAGCCGTCCGTCTCTCCAGCTCGTCTCTCCCGCTTCCGGGTTTGGAGGGGGCGGGGCCACGTCGCAGGGAAGGGGCGTGCCCACGTCGGGAGAGACGTGTCGTAATGAATGGGCGTGGTCGCTCGTGAGAAGGGGCGGGGACAGCTCCCGGGGGTGGGAAGGGGCGGTGCGAACACTGCGCGGGCCGTCACTATGGTGACGGGGTGGGATGGGGGATGCAGGTGGAAAACTGGCGCTGCCGATGCTGCTGCCGGGAGGCCCCGGTAAAAACCTTAACGGAGGCGGCGGGGCTCAGGACCAGGCTGGCGTCGCCTCTGGGTCAACGCTAGGTCACCTACCTGAAGTAGGAGCCTGGCAGAAGAAAGGGGCGCTGGGTCCCTGCTGTGCAAAGCTTTGGGGGTGGGAGGATGTCTTTGGGTTCCAGGCTTTGGTGAACAGGGCCTGATATCCTCACTTTCCTTTGGTCCTCCATAGTTCTTGACTCTGGGAACAAACTCTGTTGCTCCAGACACACAAACCCTTCCCCTTGGCATAGCACATAAATGTCTATAATCCTGCCAGACATTATGTCTGCCTTTTTCAGGGTGCTGAAATAGTGGATAAAGCCAAATTATACCACAGAAACCTTGCCTGATGTTCTTGAGAAATCCTGCAACAAGGTCCTATTGAACCTCTCGGATGTTCAGGCAGAGCTTGATATCTTGTTAAAGGGCCCTGGAAAGTTGGGGAGGGAGGCAGTAGTTCACCCCTACTTAGGATCTCAGGAGGCTGAGATCTGAGGTTCAAAGTCAGCCTGGGCAGGAAAGTCTGAGAAACATTCATCTGGTAATGTATCTAGAAGTGTTTTGTAGGAGTGTTTGCAATAAATGCTACCCTGCCAGAAGATGGATGAAGAGGGACGGAGCTAGTGATGGCTGTTTATAATAAATGCTACCCTGCCAGAAGATGGATGAAGAGGGACGGAGCTAGTGATGGCTGTTTATAATGCTTCAGCAAATCCTAGCCAGGACAGCTGCAGATTCTTCTAGCACCATGGGCCACCTGCTCAGAAGTCTGCCGCCTGTACTTGTGCATGGTAAGACAGCTGGCTTTCACAGACATTAAAAGTTCCTTAGGGGGGACAGGAAGCAACATGTACTTGCCATGTGTTGTTTTGGGAACAGCTGAGGATACAAATGTGACCACAGGGTCCTTTCCTAAAAGAAATACTATCTTCTCCCCCTCTCCCCCCAGTTCCCACACACACACACCGGCACTTGAACTCAGGAAATGTGGGGTGGGGAAAATCTGCACTTTTGTCACTATGTGTGGGGAGAAAAACTTAACTCTAAAGCCTGGAAAAACTTAAGTTGCAGACTCTACCATTCTAGTGATAATTTTAGGCAATTTACTTAGCTTCTTTTTTTGCTAAGTGTTACTAAAACTGGAGTGCTAAGACATCCCTATGTTATTGGAATTTGTCCAAGTTCTATACCAGAAGCTGAGGCTTTTGGAGAATACAGGTCATGCAAGACTAAGGATGTGGTTAACTGCTATTAATCCTATATACACTGAGGCCTAGGCTTTTTTATGCTGCTACTGTGGCTTGAACTCAGGACCTGGACTCTGTCCCTTAGGATTTGTTTTTTGTTTTGCCAAGCCTGGGGTTTGAATTCAGGGCCTGGGCACTGTCCTTGAGCTGCTTTTTTCCCCCCAAGCTTCTTTTGTTCAAGGCTAGCACTGTACCACTTGACACAGCACCACTTCTGGCCTATTCTGTTTACGTGGTACTGAGGAATAGAACCCAGGGCTTCATGCATGCTAGGCAAGCACTCTCCCACTAAGCCACATTCCCAGCCCTGACTTGCAGTTTGATCTACAAATTCTAAGATCAAAACTGAATGTTTCCATGTGCTGGTGGCTCACGCCTATAATCCTAGCGACTCAGGAGGCCGAGATCTGAAGATCACAGTTCAAAGCAATAGAGGCAGGCAAGTCCATGAGACTTATAATCTTGAATAAACTACCAGAAAACTGGAAGTGGCACTGTGGCTCAAGTGGTAGAGCACTTGCCTTGTGCTGAAGAGCTGAGGGACAGTACCTAGGCCCAGGCACACTGTACTGGCTTAGTGGCACTGGGTCCAGGGTGGGTATTCAGAAAAGATACTAAGGTGGCTATACAACAGTCTGTGGCTATAGGCCTCAACTAATGTAAGTTTTTCATGATTTGTCTGTGATGACTGATTTGTTGATTAATATTTGGAAGTGAAGAAACCTTAAATCTGTCCTTGGATAAGACATTTCCTGTGTTTGCTTTCTTGTCAGTTCAAATTTGGACTAAATAACTTCTAAGTGCTTCCCAATTCTAAGAATTTTAGTCTATTAATTCTATAATATTCAAAGAGCTTACACTGTCTCAAAAGAAATGTATTCTTGGGCTAGGAGGGTAGCTCAGTGGTAGAGTGCTTGCCTTGCATGCATGAGGCCTTGGGTTTGATTCCTTAGCACTACATAAACAGAAAAAGCTGGAAGTAGCGCTGTGGTTCGAGTGAATGGTAGAGCGCTAGCTTTGAGCTGAAGAGCTGAGGGACAGCACCTAGGCTCAAAGTTCAGGCCCACAACTGACAAAAAAAAAAAGATAAGAAAAAAGAAATGTATTCTTTACCTGATTTAGGTAACTGTAACCCCTTCGTATATCATCTTTATAATAATAATAAAAGAAATGTCTACAGTATTCTACAAAATTAGATTCTTTCATTTAAGATTCTATAAATAAAAAACCACTTAAGGTAGCTGTTGTAAATGTAAAGAATATTTTTAGCCGG